CCGGTCAGCCTGCCAACTGGTATAGCGGTCAGGCGTACGTTCTGTAAGGTGCTAGAACTCGGTGAACATGCTGTGTTCGTCTTGCGTGGGCCTCTTGGGCCCGGCCATTAGCCGAGAGCAGTGTTCGGCTCTGTGGTAGAGGCTCCATGAGGTTCTGTGACACGTTCAATGAAGATTTTGAACGAATGAGTACCAGTGGGGCTCAGAGTCACGACACCAGTGATCCTGGCGGCCGCCTGAGTTGTCCGAATGAGTGGGAGTGGTTTCCGTCCGCTTCACCTTGATCTGAGGCCCCCAAGGTGGGAGGAGGGCAGGCGGGAGGTGTCATGCCCCTGGGATGCCACCAGATGGCAGTGGAGAAGCATTGTTCAGGGGCCGGCGGAGGTGGAGGGAGGTCACCACCGCGGGATGGAACATGGGACAAAGGCACAAGTGTGGACGGGGACAGGCTGCCCCGTCACGCTTCTCACCGCACGTCGATTGAGCGGCGGGGAGTCCTGGCTAGGAGCTGGGACACGGGCAGGGCACTGCCCCGCTCTATGCCTCAGTCTACCCTTGAGTGAAACCGCATAATAACGGGTGTATCCCGAAGGGGGTGAGGAGTTAAATGAGTTGGCATTTGCAAGTTGCTCAGTGCAGAATTTAGCCCGCGTGAGCGCTGTGTAAGCACTTGATGACTTATTTCTGCCGTTGTTATTGGGCTTCGTGGGCACTGACTTCTCTCGCCTCCCGCTGAACCCTCCGACCCTGCAGTGTTGGTAATGACACCCACTTGCACGGGTGTGGAGCCTGAGGCTGAAGAGGTGAATGGCTCATCTGAAACCATCCAGATGATAACAGGCCAAGCCAGGATGAAAACTCAGCTTGAGTTCCAAATCGAGGGCCTTGGCCCCCCGCTTCAAACCACACCACTCACTCCGCGGCCTTGGTCTCTGTGTGCGTGCGTGTGGTGTGTGTGCACGTGTGTGCACGGCAAGTGTGGCGTGTGTGCGTGCGTGTGCGTGTGCATGTGCGTGCGTGTTAAAGCTCAGGTGTGGTTCACACAGAGCTCCCGGCCGACCTCGCTTCCTAGGCGCCCTTCCAGGGTGTTCCCTCGAGGGAGCCCTGGTTGGGAGCCGCTGGGTGCCCGGCAGGCAGAGTCCCTTCCCGGGCCGTGTACACACAGCTCTCCAGTCCCCCGGGGACCCGTGCACACCCTGTCCAGGCACTCGGCCCCGCCCTGTGACCCCTGATGTGGCTGTGCCTTCCACCCCAGACTGTGAGTCTTCTTCGGCTGCGACCGAGGGCCATTGGATTGGTACGAGACTAGTCAGGTGCATTCACTGTAGGAAGTTTAAAAAGCAAAAGTCCCCTCGAGAAGGTTTTGGTGATCAGTATTGCCCTTCTGGTCTCTCTCCTGTAAATGTGTGTTGCATATTTTGTAAGAAGTGAAGGCAACCTGTAGATACTACCTGTGACCTGATTTTCCCACCCAGTTATGTGACCGTCTTCCGGTAGACCTAACTATTCTGCTGTTACCTAAAGTGAAGTCTACACAGAGAGCTGAAGAAAGGCCCAGTGTTGTTTGTCAGTGCTGAGCATGAGCAGAAGAATGGAGGCACGGGAGGCCCTGTAACGCGGTGGTCAGCGGCCCGGTCGTCTGGTCGACCCCTGGTGCAACCTGGCACAGAGAGCCAGCGCCCTCAGGAGTAGCTTTGAACATGGAGCGATGTCTTCCAGAACGTTCCGGGTTCCCCGAGGACTCTTTGTTTCCCTACACACCGGTCAGCCGCATGCAGACTCCACGTAGGGGGAGCGCGGTGAGGTGGGTGCGGCCGACGGAGGTCCTCGTGACACGCACACCGTCAGCAGGCAGCTCACACCTGCATCACCCTGGTCAGAAACCGTCGGCTTCCCAAATGCCCCCGCTCACTACCTAACTCTTAAGGGCGACCGCATTCTGACTTGTACAGACGCACGGGCTGTGGACGCGCTCTGGTGTCCACACGCGTCAGCGGGTCCGTCTGCGTCGTCATGGGCAGGACGGACCGTCCGGCGTTGCTGCCCCGCGAAGCGGCCACGTGGCACCTGTCTGTCGGCGGGCACGTGAGCAGGGTCCGGCTTGGGGCCCTTAGAGCGGCGCCGCGTAAGTTTGGCGGCACGTGGACACGGGTGTGCAGCCCTGCGGGGAGCGTCCCGTGGCCTCGGCGGTGGCGAAGCTCGTGCCCCGTGTGTGAGGCTCTGCGCCTGCCAGACACGTGAACACTCGGCCGCTTGCTGGGGGTGGTGGCATCTCGCTGGGCTTTGCTCTGTGTTTCCCACCGACGAGCAGGGCGAGCGCCTGTCCGCCACTTGCCGGCTCTTTGGGTCTCCCCTGTCACGAAGTGTCTGCTGGGCTCTCGCCCGTTTCTCTGTCCCGCTAACGTGAGCCCGTCGTCCACGGCGGTTTGCCAGGTGGTGGACACCTCCTCCTCCACGTTTATCCTCGGGAATCGGCGTGTTTTCACTACGGAGAAGTGATTGGAAGCACAGACGTTTCTCCCAAACCGGCGGCGGGTTCGCAAAGAGCTTGCGGCACCGTGTCGGGTGGCATTAGTGACATCTGGGGCCAGAAGCGTGGGTCCTTGCCGGTGGGGGGGAGGGGGGGACAGCTGCCATGACTCGCAGGCACACGTGGACCACATGTTGGGGCCGCTCCGGCCCCCTCACCCCCCTCTCCCGGCTCGGGTCAGCTTCGGGGGGGGGGGGGGGAACCTGACCTGACCCAGCCCTGCGGTGGGCGTGGCCTCCACGAAGATGGGATCGCAGCTGCCCCAGGGGAGGGCGAACAAAAGCACTCGCTTTTTTTAGAGAGAGAATCCGAGTGTGTCCAAGCAGGGGAGGGGCAGAGAGAGAGGAGAATCGCAAGCAGGCCCTGCACGGTCAGTGCAAGCCCGCAGGGGGGCTCCGTCTCACAAACTATGAGACCAGGACCTCAGCCAGCCAGATGCCCCATCTAGGGACCTTTTGAACGGGAGCGACCAGGAGCAAAATTTCTACTGGTTCTGAATTCTAATTGTTTTCTTTTTAGGCAACAGTCTCTGGGGCGCCTGGCTGGCCTGTCGGTTGAGTGTCTGACTCTTAATTTCAGCCCAGGTTTGTGGATTCGAGCCCCATGTCACGCTCTGTGCTGACGGGGTGGAGCCTGGAGCCTGCTTCAGATTTTCTCTCTCCCTCTCTCAGCCCATCCCTGTCTCTCTTAAGAAAAAGAAAAGAAAAAAGAACGGTCTCCCACACTATGATCACTGTGCTCCAAGGTGCATCTCTCTCTGTCTCAGGGCCTGCTTTTCACGAGGGACTAACAGCCTTGTTTGAAAAATGTCTCCAAGGACCAGCAAGTAAAACTCACCAGGTCAGCAGTGGTAACACACAGCTCCCCCCCCTCCCCAGCCCCTGCCTCTGCCAGACCTCCCTCCCTCTCCGCTGCTTCTCAGGCAGTGTCCCTCCTTTCGGGGGCGGGGCCCGGCGGGGGGGGGGGGGGATGTTGAGCCAGTCAGGGCCGCACCTGTGCACCTGTTCTGGCCGTTTAGGACAGAGCCCCGGAGGCCAAGTTGATAAGGTCGCAGCCAGAGCCCAGAAGGGTGGGGGCTAACACCGGTGAACACCTGCGTCTGGTCGCGGGCCACGCCAGGTGCTTCGCGGCTCCAGGGCAGGTGTGAGCTCTGGTTTACAGAGAAGGACACAGAGCTCCAAGGCACCAAGCTATTGGGCCACGAAGGTGGTTGCAAACATACCTCTTTGACACCAGAGGCCGGGCTCTGCCTTACGAGGCGCCCCGAGCTGCCTCCACCCGGGGAAGGTCGATTCCTCAGACCCACCGCAGGCTATTTATTTGTAGTCCCGACAAGCAAAAACACTCCTTCCGGTGGATTTGGATGACCGGCCCCGAGGTCATCTCTCTCAGACTTTCTAGATGGGTGTGTTTCGTTGGATTCCACTGTACCTCAGAGGTGAAGACAGAAGGAGACGTCACTGGTGTGTGCTCTCCTGGACCGGGGATCTCAGACGTGGCCTCAGAGCCCCACAGACCCTGGAAAGCCTTAACATGTTTGTTTTCATTTTAATGGTCGCCTAAAAATGAAATATAAGCACATTCTGGGTTGGCACCTCTTAACCAAGCAGCGTTTGGCACGTGCACTCACAACCATGGACGCCCTGAGTGAGCGTCAGGGACTCACTTTGTGGACACTGGAGACTAGGTAGCAGTTCAGTGAGGCAGGCAGTGGAAACAGAGTCGTTTTCTGGCTCAGGCAGCACAGGCACCCAGAACTCAGGGAACCCGGCCCACAGCGGTCAGGAAGGGATTCACGCTGTAAGCAGGTGACCTGAGCCAAGGTCCTGGCTGTACATATAGGGGCTGCAACACACAATGAACAAGAAAGCACAGAGGGTGCAGTGAAATTTCCTCATAAAAGGGATTTTTTTGGAAGTTTATTTCTTTATTTTGAGAGAGAGAGAGCGCACGCACGAGCAGGGAAGAGGGGCAGAGAGAGAGAGGGAGAGACCCAAGCAGGCTCTGCACTGACAGCATGAGCCCGATGCAGCGCTCGATCTCACAAACCGAGATCCTGACCTGAGCCAAAATCAAGAGTCATATGCTTAACTGACTGAGCCACCCAGGTGCCCCATAAAAAGGAATTAAAAGAATTTTTTTAATGTTTATTTATTTTGGGGAGACAGAGAGGCAGAGTGGGGGAGGGGCAGAGAGAGAGGGAGACAAAGAATCCGAAGCAGGCTCCAGGCTCTGAGCTGTCAGCATAGAGCCCAATGCGGGGCTCGAACCCATGAAGCACAGGATCGTGACCTGGGCAGAAGTCAGATGCTCAACCGACTGAGCCACCCAGGCGGTCCCCATAAAAAGGAATTTTTAATGAAATGTTTAGGAATTGTATTTTGGGATATGCTATTACATTATTTGGCACATCAAAGTAATGGGCTGATGATTACAGATACAATCATAGTTAAAGGAAAAATTTTTTTAAAATAAAGGAAAAACAATAACAAGAATAGAGACTTAACCTATGGCTCATCATGCTCAAAATTCTTTTAGAAGAAACTCAGAACAGTCAAGTAGGAAACCTGCAAAATATCTTTCTGTTATCAAACCCAATATTGTTGATTTGTATGTCTCTTTGATTCCAGTAATACTTGGTTTCTTAAAGTCTACTTTGCACTTTCTTTTGGTTCATACTTACATGTATGTCTTTTTCCATTCTTTTACTTTCAAGCTCTCCTTATACTTAAAGTATTTCCTTTTGGGGGAGCCTGCGTGGCTCAGTCGGTTGAGCGTCTGACTCTTGATTTCAGCTTAGGTCACGATCTCACAGTTTGTGAGTTAGAGCCCCGTATTGGGCTTGCCCTGACAGTGTGGAGCCTGCTTGGGATTCTCTCTCTCTCTCCCTCTCTCTCTGCCCTTTTCATGCTGGCGCTCTCTCTCTCTCTCTCTCTCTCTCAAAATAAATACATAAACTTAAAAAAAAAAAAGGAAGAAAAAAATTAAAGTGTTTCATTTGGGAACAGTATATAGTTGTTTTGTTTTGTTTTTAAATCCAGCCTGATGACCTTTGTCTTTTAGGTGGAGAGTTTTGTCCGTTTGCACTTAACGTAATGTAAAATGTAGTTGGGTTTACGCCTACTATATTGCTAATTGTTTTCCATTTATCCGGTTTGTTCCTTGTTCCTCATCCTTTCTTTCTTGCCTTTTTTTTTTTCAACGTTTATTTATTTTTGGGACAGAGAGAGACAGAGCATGAACGGGGGAGGGGCAGAGAGAGAGGGAGACACAGAATCGGAAACAGGCTCCAGGCTCCGAGCCATCAGCCCAGAGCCTGACGCGGGGCTCGAACTCACGGACTGCGAGATCGTGACCTGGCTGAAGTCGGACGCTTAACCGACTGCGCCACCCAGGCGCCCCCTTTCTTGCCTTTTTTGAGGTGGGGGATTAATCAACTATTTTTTTTTTTTTGTCCATTAGCATATTATGGGACTTAAGGACTATATTCTCTCTCTCTCTCTCTCTCTTTTTTAATGTTTTATTTATTTTTTGAGAGCGAGACACAGAGTGTGAATGGGGGAGGGGCAGAGAGAGAGGGAGACACAGAATCCAAAGCAGGATCCAGGCTCTGAGCTGTCAGCACAGAGCCCGACGCGGGGCTCGAACCCACAAACTGTGAGATCGTGACCTGAGCCGAAGTCTGATGCCTAACCGACGAGCCACCCAGGCGCCCCTCTCTCTTTTTTAATAATGGTGTTTTATAATTGGTGGCATTTAAAAATTTTTTTAATTTTTTAATTGATTTAAGTAATCTACACCCCCCACATGGGGCATGAACTCACGACCCCAAGATCAAGATTTGCACACTCTACCAACTGAGCCAGCCAGGCTCCTCAAGGCCATATCCTCTTTTTAAAAATATTTAAAAACATGTGTCCCGACGCGTTTCCACAATTTCCCTGTAGTTAGAGCAGACTGTAGGTGGCTGAGCTCTGGCCCTAAATAACTGCACGGGGGCAATGGCTAGGAAGACCACAGAGGAGGCAGAACACAGATGGAGGCTTGGGGAGGCAGGGCGAGGGGCAGTCAGAATTGGAAAGGACCAGAGCAGGACAGTTTGGACGGGGAGCCAAAGAGGCTCCTGACTCAGGCCTCCGGGGGGCCGGCACGAGACCTCCACGTATACACCACCCTCTGGCTGCATTCGCCTTCCCGCCTCAGAGCCCTCCGGCGGGTCAGGTGATTCTCAGGCTCCCGCCACGGGTGTGCCCGGGACACGCCCATCCAGCTGGTGGGCCGCAAGGTAGCAGGGAGGGTGGGCGGGCTGCTCCCGTCCCTCTTACTCCTCCTCTGCCCCCTTCAAACGCAGGTTGAAATTCACAGATTACTAGGAAAATGGCCGCCGGCCACGGAGCTCGGCACCCGAGTCACGTGTCCCCTGGGAGACGAGCCGGGGTCGGGGGCGTGAGCAAGCACCGTATGTTCTGTGTGCCTGGCTGCATTCTAAGAGCGCTACAAATAATAATTCAGTCGCCATCACAGGAAGAAACAGGTGTCATTATTATTTTTATCCCCTTTGGCAAAGGGAGCAGACAGCTTCCGTAGCTTGGCCAAGGGCACACGGCCTTGGATCTGGGCGGCCCTGCTCACGCCACACGGTCCCAAACGCCACTCCCCGGAGTTGCCACAGCAGCGGGGGCTCCCCCATCAGGGGGTGAGTGGAGAGGAGCATTTGACGCTATTCAGCGTGAGACGGGAATCGTGATCTGCACTTACGGAGATTCTGCTGTGTTCTCCCTTTCGGCGTGAAAATCAGGGAACCTGATGCCAATCTTACCTGAACGTTGGAGGTACTGTATTTACCATGCGATTCTGCAGCCCTGGGCACCTGTTTCTTTCTCAGCAGGCCAGGGCAGCTCAGCTGAACGGAGACGAGCTTGGAGGCGGTGTGGGGAATGTGCAGAAATCTCCGCGCCCATGGCCGGCTTTATGGACGCTTTGCTTGGAAAGCGTCTCAGATCTGCGAACCCCTGCCCCCCCTCCAGCACCACTCCCCGCGGGACACCGTGAGCCTCCGGGGCCGAGGCTCAGAGACACATTAACGTGTGCTGTTTCATGCTATTTCGCTGCACCAAGCCGGAGACATCACTTACCTTTGAGAATTCAGCCACGATTAGCATGATTAATGGGACCAGAAATTCTTTTCCTTCACGAAACCCGACGACCGGAAAGACCAATCAGGCTTGGATTCTGTGGTGCTATGTCTTTGTTTCCCGGTCTATGGATTATGCAGTTCACTCCCAAGGCTACTTTCGGGTCAGGTTCGCCAACCTCGATACACTCTCTCGAGAGGAAACCACACAGTGTGCTACTCCCCGCCAGACAGCTCACGCACCAAGAAACCAGCACGGTCCCGTAAGGTGACACGCTGAGTGGAGCTACCCACCTGTCAGCAGGGTGTCACTGGGAATGTCTTCTATTATGCACTTCTCCTCTCGTTCCCCCGCGTGGAAATAAAAAGCCGTCGAGAGTGAAAAGCACAAACCGAAAATAAATGTTAACGTCGGCATCTCTGGGTAGCGCTCTCCTTGAAACGGCTCGATCACAAGTGCGCTGCTCAGTGGGCGCTCGTCTTCCATTGGACAGTCCTGTCAATTGATTTCTGTGAGAAGTAACATGTGGCGGCTGCCCTTGGGCGGGTGACGGCAGCAATTCCCAGGGAACAAGATAAAATGATGTCTGAACCTGGGGCCTTTCCAGGCACGGTGGCCTCACAACTCCTTCTGATCTCTTTTTGAGGACTTTGAAATGTGACGAGGGGACGAAAGACAACACAGGGCCAAGGGACCAGCACGGTCGAAACCCTGAAGCACCACCGGCAACAGCCCCGCCCTCGCGGTCCTGTCCCTGGTCCCTGGTTGTCCGCGGTTTGGCAGGAGGCGGGGGAGGGGGATGTGAGCTTTGTGCCAGGGGGTGAGAACCGAGGGCAGGGATGCAGGGGAGGGGCAGTGGGTGTGGACGAGGAGGAGGTGAGAGCCCGGTTTAACTGAGGACTGGCTGTGAGTCTGAGCTGCGATCACCCAGTGTGGCCCCTCAGGTCCTTCCAGCTCTGGTAAACAATGATTTCTTCTTAAACCTTTTATTTTGAAATAAAATCTGTCCCCGTCACCCAGCTCCCCCCAGTGGTGACACTCTGCGGAGCTCACAGAGCTCGGAGCCGCTATGGACACCCGGCAATCTGACACCGTGGGGGGACAGGTAACTGGCCCACAGAGCTGACGGGGGTTTCACGGGTTTTGTACACCCTCTTTGAAAAAAAACAGGGGTACCTGGGTGGCTCGGTCGGTTAGACGTCTGACTTCGGCTCAGGTCACGACCTCGCGGTTCGTGGGTTCGAGCCCCGCATCGGGCTCTGTGCCAACAGCTCGGAGCCTGGAGCCTTCTTCGGATTCTGTGTCTCCCTCTCTCTCTGCCCCTCCCCTGCTCGCACTCTGTCTCTCTGTCTCAAAGATAAGTAAATGTTAAAAGAAAAAAAGTTGGGTGCCTGGGTGGCTCAGTCGGTTAAGCAGCCGACTTCGGCTTAGGTCGTGATCTCACGGTTCATGAGTTCAAGCCCCGCGTCGGGGGCTGTGCTGACAGTTCAGATGCTGGAGCCTGCTTCCATTTCTGTGTCTTCCTCCCTCTCCGCCCCTGCCCTGCTCACGCTCTGTCTCTGTCTCTGTCTCTCTCTCTTTCAAAAATAAATAAACATTTAAAATTTTTTTTTAAAGAAAAGAAGTTAAAAAAATAACAATAACAAGTGTGTGCGGGGGAGGAGCAGAGAGAGGGAGACACAGAACCCGAAGCAGGCTCCAGGCTCCGAGCTGTCAGCACAGAGCCCGATGCAGGGCCTGAACTCACAAACCTAGAGAACGTGACCTGAGCCGAAGTCAGACACCTAACCGACTGAGCCACCCAGTCGTCCCTGAACTTTTTCTTTTTAAGCTTATCTATTTATTTTGACAGACAGACAGCACAAGTGGGGGAGGAACAGAGAGAGAGGGAGACTCCCAGGCAGGCTCCACATGGCATTGCAGGGGCGCAGAGCCCGATGCGGGGCTCAAGCCCACGGACTGTGAGATCATGACCTGAGCCAAAGTCGAGAGTTGGATGCTTAACCGACTGAGCCACCTGGGTGCCCCATTTCCCGGACTATTTTAAAGCACATTCCTGACCAGACATCATTTTTACCCATCAGGACTTCGATGCACCTCTGACCTGTAAAGACTGAAAAACAAGCCATAAAGCACCACGCTGTTGTGAGCACAGTTGTGATGACCTAACAAAATTAATACGAGTCCTTCCTGCCATCCAGCACCCAGATCATAGTCCGTTCCCCTGATTGGGAGGGTCTCTTTGCCGTTGATCTGTTTGAACCAGCGTCTAAACAGGATCCACACATCGTACTTGATCATGTCTCTTAAATCTTTTGTTCTCTTGGGTCCCCCTTCCTCTCAGCCAGCCATTTTTCTCCCAATAATTCACTAGAAACAAGGTTGCATGGCTCAGAGCGACCTACATGCCAGGTGTAGGATTGACTCAGCACAGCACACACCCCACACGCACATGAATCTCCCAGGGCCGCTGGGACGGGCACCTCTGGGTTCTGGATTCTGGGCCCCATGCTGCCGCTGTGGGGCCTCGTCTGCATGGTGAGGCTTTTTTTTTTTTTTTTTTTTTAATGTTTATTCATGTTTGAGAGACAGAGCATGAGCAGGGAAGGGGCTGAGAGAGGGAGACACAGAATCCGAAGCAAGCTCCAGGCTCCGAGCTGTCGGCACAGAGCCCGACGCCGGGCTCGAACTCACGGACCGTGAGATCATGAGCTGAGCCGAAGTCGGACGCTCAACCGACTGAGCCACCCAGGCGCCCCCGCACTTGTCTTCTTGAATCCTCTCGCTGCACCCTTCGTAGCCTTCACCGTGTGAGTGCTTCACTGCCGGGGCTGAGGTAATTCCCAGGCACGTTCTTCTCCTTGATGCTACTGTAAATGAAACTGGTTCTGTGATTTCCTTTCAGATCGTCCATTGTTCATGTGCAGAAACGCAGCTGATTTTTGCGTGTTGACTCTGCGTCCCGCCCGTTTGCTGCAGTCATACTTAGTCCTGAACGTTGTGCGTGTGTGTCATCTTTGGGACTCACACGTAGAAAATTATACGACAGATGACTTCACTTCTGCCTTCCCAGTGTGGATGACGGCTTTTTTCTGCTCTGACCGGAGCTCCCGGGACCGTGTTGAACGGAAGCGGTAAAAGCAGGCATCCCTACCTTATTCCTGATCTTAGAAGAAAAGCTTTAACTCTCACCATGAGTAGGATGCTTCCTGTGGGTTTTGATATATGGCTCCAATGATGTGGGACAGTTTACTTCTATTCCTAGTATTCTGAGTGTTTTTCTCATGAACTTTTGTCAAATGCTTTGTCTACATCAGCTGAGATGATCACGTGGTTACCCCCTCCACTCTGCTGAGGTGACGTATTACACTGATCAATTTTCACATGTTGACCCTCCTTCCATCCCAGGAGTAAATCCCACTTGGTCATGGTGTGAAGTCCTTTCAATATATTGCTGAATTCTGTTTGCTTGTATTTTGTTGAGGATTTTGCGTCAATGTTCATAAGGGATGTTGGTCTGTTGTTTTCTCCCAGTGTTCCTGTCTGGCTTTGGTAACAGGGTGATTCTGGCCTCGTAGGGTGAGTTGGAAAGTCTTCCAATTTTTGGAAAAGTTTGGGAAGGACTGGTGTCAGTTCTTCTTTAAATCTTTGACAGAATTCACCTGCGAAGCCGACAGGTCCTGGGCTTTCCTCTGCTGGGAGATTTTTGATTAGTGATTCAGTCTCCGTACCAGCCGTAGGTCTATTCAGACTTCCCGTGTCCCCGTGACTTAGTCTCGGCAGGTTCTGTGTTTCCAGGAATTTGCCCGTTTCATCTAAAGGGATCTGATTTGTTGGGGGACAACCGTCCACAATACTTTCTTACCATCCTTCCGATTTCTGTAGAGTCGGTAATAACGTTCCTGCTTCGCTTCTGGTTTTGGTAATCTGAGACTTCTCTCTCTGTCTCTCAGTCCGTGTATAGCTAGAGGTTTGCCAACGTTGTTGGTCTTGTCAAAGAGGCAGCTTTTGGTTTCATGGACTTTCCCTGTTGTTTTTCCATTGTCTGTCTTGTTTATGTACGCTCTCACCTTTATTATTTCCTTCCTTCTGATGGCTTTGGGTGTAGTCTGCTCTTCTCCTCCTAGTTCATTAAGTAGTAAACTTCGGTTCCTGATTTGAAATCTTCTCTGTTTTAAGTGTGTTCGTAGCTATACATCTCCCCTAACTTCAGCATCACCTCCACTGTCTTCCCTAAGTTTTGTTTTGTTGTGTTTCCATCTTCACTTGTTCCTAAGTATTTTCTAATTTTCTTGTGATTTCTTCTTTGATCGATTGATTTAAGAGTGTTGTTACTTAATTTCCACAAATTTGTGAGTGTTCCCGTTTTCCTTCTTATGGACTCCTAACTCCATCCTGTTGCGGTCACAGAAGACACGTCTCTTAAAACCTGCCGAGATTCACCACGCGCTCTGACACACGGTCTGTCCTGGAAGACGGCCGTGTGCGCGTGAGGAGAACGTGTGCGCTCGTGGCTGGGCGGGCTCTGTGTGTCTGTTGCGTCTGGCTGGTGGCTTGGGTTGCGTCCTCTTTCCCGGACTCCTCTTCGGTCTGTTGTTTATCCACCAGTGAGAGTGGGGGGTTCAGGTCACCACCACTGCCGGACTGTCTATTTCTCCCTCCGTTCCGTCAGTTTTCGCTCCATATATTTTGACGGTCTGTCGTTAGGTGTGTACATGTTTGTAATTGTTATGTTTTCTTGTGTCGGGATTTCATCAACATGCACCGTCCTTTGTCTCTTGTAACCATTTTGAATTTAAGTCTGTTTTGTCTGGTATCTCCCTGCTCTCCTTCGGTGACCATTTGCCTGGACTGTGTTTTCCATTCTTTTACTTTCAACCTGTTTGTGCCGTTGGATCTCAAGTGAGTCTCCTGTAGACAACCTGTGTTTGGATCTTGTGTTTTTATCCATCCTTCCAGTCTCTGTCTTTTAACCGGAGATTTTAACCCACTTACATTTAAGTAATTACGGATAAGGAGGAGGTCCTACCTAGTTCTCTGAGCAACTTTAAAGTCGTTTTTTTAAAGTCTGTGTCTACCGTATCTGCTGTTACACCTTTATCAAGAGGCAGTTCTCGTTGATTTACTTTTTTCCTTTGAATGGGCCATGCTTTCCTGCATCTTTGTATGCCTTGGGATTTTTAGTTGAACACTGGACATTTGCATCTGATAATGTGGTAACTCTGAAATCAGATCTCCCCCTTCGCCAAGATTTACGTTTTTACTTGGATTGCTGTAGGCCGTCTCTGTGCTGAGGACCAGCCTGAGGGTAACTTGAGGTCTTCCTGGGTCTTTTTGAGACTTTCCCTGGACATGCAGGGTAACTTCCTAATTTCCCTTATACGTACATTTGCTTTTGAATGTACTTACCTTTAATATTTAGCTCCCCAAACAGGAAAAAGTGAAAAATAAAAGGGGACTTGGGAGACATGGGTGCTCACCTTTTACATCTCCTGAAAGTTCCT